GATGAAGTGCAACGGAGCAGCATGACAAAGGCAGGGCAGTTTCTGCAAGCAGATGAGTGGGAAAGCACGTGGCTCCCGCAATGAATGCCCCTCCTTGTCTGGATGGCGGGACTGCCACAGACGGAATGCAAACATGATTCCAACATCATTGCTTTCATTCAGACTTTTCAGGGAGGAAAGACTGGTATCCTGTCTCCCCTCCCCACCCTGACTTGTCAAAGCTAGTGTCACAGTTTGCTGCCAAGGCAGCACATACTTGCTTTCATGTCTTGAGACACTGCTTCCTGCAGGTTGGCAGAACACCAGCAACTTAATTACACAGGCAGTTATTAGAGCCTGCCTGAACTTTCACACCAGGAAAAAAAAATTACTTCTTCTCATGAAACTTATCTACAAATCAATACATTGTTTCCAGGTGAAGGCCACGGAGAGATCTGGAGAGTTTCTGCTATATGGTCCCGTGGTCACAAAGTCTTTGCTCACCCTGCATGGGTCACAGCCCCAGAGAGGTTATTGGGTTATAAGGGCCTTCAGACATCCAGAGCATAGTGGCTGCTGCTGAATTAAATTTTCCCACTCTTAGACCAATTTCTGATAGATGAGGGGTGAAGGACTGCATGTAGCATCTGCAGAATGGGCACTTTAATTGCTGATAGTATTTACAGAAACAAACAACCCTCTGCAAATAAACAGTAAGAGGGCTGGAGCTGCGGTACTACATTTGACAAAACTCAAGTTTCATTAAGACCAGAAACAGGAGTGCCTTTGCACCCTGGGACTGGAGCATCCCGCAGAGGAAAGCAGGAGCTGCACTGGGTAAAGAGCTAAACCCAGACCCTTTGTCTCAACACATGGTAATGGTTCAGCCAACCCTGGAAGGCATCTCTCCTTTAGAGAACATGTGAACCAAGCTGTCACAGCGACCAAAAGGAAAAAAAGATCGGCGTGCCTTAAGAAAAGCATTATGAATCATTTAGCCCTGCCATGAGCAAACGAAGCAAGGCTGGAGGACACTAAAGCCACTGTGGCTGTTGGCAGTTGCGCAAGACACAGATGGCAGAGAAGTCTTAAGGTTGGCATGCAGGCTTAAATCACTGGGCAGGGCAGAAAATGTATTTAGAGGAAAGCAGAGCCGACAGCCTTCTTGGAAAGCAGCTTAAAACCTTAACTGTAGGAATGCCCCAGCAGCTCCTCTTCCGTAGTAGAGAGTGGTAAACTAAACACACCCACTTTAGCAACCCAAAGATGAAGTCTAGAAGAAAAGTGTCACTCACCGAGGGTTGCATTCTTGTGTTTAGAAATGTATGCATTGGGTTTGGCAAAACTCACAGAAGGTACCACACAGCGTACTCAGTGTCACCTAAACCAAGTTTTAGGGTTTTTTCGCTGATGGATTTCATGGTTTCCCTGCCACACCCAAATGAAAGAAACACTCTTATAATTCGCAATAGTCTGACCAGTTGTATCTCTGAAGGATTGCAGACCGCATTACTGTGACTGTGCTGAATCTCCAAAGCATGTAGCACTCTTCCCTGATAGAAAGCACAGGGTGGGCACTCCGTGCTTAGCTTATACAGTCAGCAAGGCCAGAGAGGAATCCAGTTACATCCCCAAATACTTTATTATCATTGCAAACAAGCTAGTTGGAATGTGAAATACCTGTCAGAAGGTGGGTGTGCTCCTCATACATTTGTAAACAGAGCAAAGCCCCCTCCCTACCATTACTGGCCCAACCGCATGCACAAGACCAGACTCCTTATCATCAGTTCAGCCTTTCACCCTGAGCAGGCTTGTAAGCCCTGTTCTGGCCAGCACAGGGTAGGACAGTACAATCGTGGCTGTAATAGGAGAAAAGAAGAAAAGAAAAAGAGTGTCTGAGAAAGAGATACATATCAGAGCCTTGCACCCTTTGAGATGTGCCACATCCCAGCACAGAGAGATGAAACACAACAAAATGCTTTTTCACTGAATTGCTCAGAGGGCTGCAGAGCCAGGGGTAAGGCAGCAGCAGGCAAGCTGAGAAGGTCAATATGCAGGTGGGGTGCAAGTCAAGCCCATGATGACAATTTGTTTACTACAAGGATCTGCCAAGCACCAACCCCTTGCCACAGCAAGAGTCCAGCTTACTCAGCTCATCCCCTGCTCAGCTAACCAGGCAGGCCAGCCCATGTCATTTTGTCTAGTTTGTAGAGAAGGGGACTGAGGAGCAACCTCATTGCTCTCTACAGCTTCCTGGGGAGAGGAAGAGGAGAGGGAGGTGCTGATCTCCTCACCCTGGTATCCAGTGATAGGACACATGTGAGTGGTTCAAAGCTGCACCAGGGAACAGGCTCCCCAGAGAAGTGGTAACAGCATCACATCTGTCAGAGTTCAGGCAGCATCTGGGTGATGCTCTTGGTCATGTGGTTTCATTTCAGGTAGCCCTGTGAGGAGTAAGGAGCTGGACTCAATGATCCTTATAGGTCCCTTCCAACTCAAGATGTTCTGTCATTCTAGGGGAGTTTCAGACTTCACATCAGGGAAAAAATGTATTTACCAAGAGAGTGGTCAGACACTGGAACAGGCTTCTTGGAGAGGCAGTCGATACCCCAAGCCTGTCAGTGTTTAAGAGGCATTTGGACAATGCCCTTAATCTAACATGCTTTGACTTCTGGTCAGCCCTGAAGCAGTCAGGCAATTGGACTAGATGATCATTGAAGGTCCCTTCCAACTGAACTATTCCATTCTATGTCTCATTTATGCTGGGAGGAAAACAGAGATGCACAGAGCAATTTATACTTTGAACGACTCCCAGTGCTTGCTGCTATTCCCTAGCAAAGCCTAGAGGCCTTGTGGCACATCTAATCACGAACACATTTGCAGAAGCAGCATGAATACTTCCTACTGAGCATCTGAGGTCCTGAGCACTCAGGCAGCCACTCACTTCAAGGTATTCTAAAAAAAGGAAAAAGTTACTTTAAAGAGAAACAAGCATCTAATCAATCAGCCTGGAAGCTCTGTCACTTAAGGGATCAGACTGACAAAAGTAGCAAAAGATCAGCTTGGCTCTCGTTCCTTTCTCAACGTCAAGCTGAATTTTGTTCCTGTTTCTGCTTGCATATTCAGGTCATTAGGCCTCAGCCTTGTATGCTTACTTCTTGCCAAGTGTCTCCTATTGCCAGAACATAAAAGAACATTTCTCATCTTGGACAGCAATACTGCTGACTGTTGCCTCTTCATTTGCAAATGAACATGCTGCTTCAATTTTTGCTACTCTAGTTGCACCATGAAAGAACCTCAGCCATTGCTCAAATGGTTCCAAAGCCAGCATGAGTGCTCATTATTTCTTCTTATCTGTGTCTGCCCTCATTCCGGGGTAAGAGTCCTAGCCACATAATACGAATCAACTGTGTTACCTCAAATGAGCAGAAACAAGTGAAACCAGTCACAACCAGGAAAGCGTCAGTCTCCAGCTGAATCCAGAACAGCAATTGAAGTACACAGATCTCAGGTGCTCACCAGCCTGGTGTAAACAGTCTTTTTGTTTCCACCTGGACTGAAGAAGGAATAAGGGTTCACAAAATGAAGTAAAGAAGATGAACATGGCAAGCTACAGCTCCTGCTGGTCTGTAGTGCCTTACCCACTGCCCCCCTCCCCCCCCCCGAAAAAAAAAACCTTGCTGTCTTTTGCTCAGAACAACAAATGAAGTGGAGTTTGCACTTTCCTTATGAAATAAGCCTGATTAAGGCTGTTGGTATTATTTAGTTCATCTGATAACAAAAGCGGAGTAAGGGGAAGAGAAAAACTCTAAATTTATTGGTAACACCAGGTAAGGTCATCAGTATTAATTATTAGTGATGAATAACAGTCAAAAATATGTGACTCACTTTTTTTTTTTTTTTTTTTTCAAAATGGAGTACTCTGACAGCAGGGTCAGAAGCCATTCTGACTATAAACACAACCAGAGGGAAAAATACAACCAAAAGAGGAACATTGCAAGGTTACAACATGCTAACATAGCTAGCACCAAAGGAAATTGCCCAGACTACAGCAGTACTTACTTAAATCCAAGTTTGTATTCCAGATACCGGAGATTAAACCATATAAACCTGTCCTTCTTCCATCTGTACACCTATATGTGGTGAACAGTCTGGCTTTGACCTTGTAAGGCATTCAATTCACAGCGTTTGAATTAGCAGATGTGTAGGTAACAAAGCTAGGAAATTGTCTAAAGTGGATGGCTGTATTCTGTGGAAAAGGAGACCGTATTTTGCCTTTTAGCAAATATAGAGGATACAGCAAACTGGGCAGGGGGAGGGGAAGAAGAAAAAAAATAAAGCACATTTATACAACCTAAAAGCAGCATGAAAAAGCTGCTGACCATTTGAAAACCTCAAAACACTGAAGTGAGCAGCCCCAGGGACTGAAAACCAGCAAGGCATTAGACAAAGGTCTTTAGTACATGAATCAGCTTAAGAATTTGATGTCAGCTTAGTAGCTTATCTTAACATATTTGTGTTCTATGTTCAGTCCACCTCAACAAGTAGGAAGCAAGAAAAAACTGCCAAGAGGCCTGCATGGATGAACAAGGAGCTCCTGGCAAAACTCAAACACAAAAAGAAAGCCTACGGAGGGTGGAAGCAAGGGTGGGTAACCTGGAAGGAATAAAGAGACACTGTCTGAGCATGCAGAAAGATGGTTAAGAAAGCCAAAGTCCACCTGGAACTGGATCCAGTCAGGGATGTCAAAGACAACAAGAAAGGCTTCTATACAGACATAGGGGACAAAAGGAAGGGATGGCTAGAGAAAACATGGACCCACTGCTGAAGGAGACAGGGGACCTGGTTACACAGGATGTGGAAAAGTCTGAGATACTGAATGCCTTCTTTGCCTGGCCCAGAGGGTAGTGATCAATTATACAGTCTTGTTGGAGGCCAGTAACTATCAGCGTATCCCAGGGGTCAGTACTGGGTCCAGTCCTGTTCTAAGACCTTCAATAACGATCTGGATGATGGGACAGAGTGCTCCTTCATCAAGTTTGCTGATGACACAAAACTGGGAAGTGTGGCTGACAAGTCAGAGGGTCATGTTGCCGTCCAAAGGGACCTCAACAGGATGGAAAAGTTGGCTGACAGAAACTTCAGGAAGTTCAACAGGGAGAATTGCAAAGTCCTGCGCCTGGGCAAGAACAAGGAGAAGTGCAAAATCCTGCACCACTACATGCTGGGGGTCACCCAGCGTGAAAGCAGCTTTGCAGAAGGTACTCTGGGGATCCTGGTAGGCAACAAGTTGAACATGAGCCAGCAATGTGCCCTTGTGACAAAGAAGACTAATGCTATCCTGGGCTGCATTAGGCAATGTACTGCCAGCAGGTCAAGGAGGGTGATCCTTCCCCTCTCCTCAGCACAGGGGAGACCACACCTGGAGTGCTGTGTCCAGTTCTGGGCTCCCCACTACAAGAGGGACATGGAGCTACTGGAGAGAGAGCAATGAAGGGCCATAAAGATGACGAAGGGACTGGAGCATCTCTCATCTGTGAGGAAAGGATGAGAGAGCTGGGACTGTTCAGCTTGGAGAAGAGAAGGCTCAGGGGGTATCACATCAACGTATATAAATACCTCAAGGGAGGGTGCAAAGAGGACAGAGCCAGGCTCTTTTCAGTAGTGCCCAGTGACAGGACCAGAAGCAACAGGCACAAACACAAACAGGAGGCTCTGTCTCAAGATCAAGCAGGTGGCCCTGCTTGAGCATGGATGGTGGACCAGATCACCTCCAGAAGTCCCTTCCAACCTCAGCCATTCTGTGATTCTAGGCAAGTTATGGCTGGATTTTGAAAGAACATGAACAAATTGTATAGCCGTAACAGCAGCAATTTCCTTCAGGTCACTCAACCCATGCTAAGCTTAACAGAACTAGTCTGGAAAAATAGGAGGGGTAGAATATTAAAAAAAAAAAAAAAATCAATATTTTATCTGTCAAGATAAACAACTATGAGCCAGTATTGCACTACTGCCAGGTCCTTGTTTTATTTCATATTTAACTACACTTGCTGTAGTGCAGTGGAACACTAAGCAGCCACAGTACCTCAGTTTTGTCACATGAGCAATTAAAAAGCTTGGAAAAAACTGAGAAACAACCCAAATGGAAGAAACAGCCACACACCCTGTATTTATTGGTGTGGTTTATCCTGGTGAGCAGTCATCACAGATGAATGTGATTTCCTTGTCTTTATCACTGAAAATCAAACTGAGTAATAGCTGTACGGCCATGCTCTCTAGACACACAACCTTCACTTCAGATCATTAGAAGATGTGTGTCTGACTCCTGTGTTTTTGTACACTGGGTGGTTTTGGAAGAATGCATTAGTAATCTAGATATGCTACTTCCTCCTGCAAGATGGCAGGACAGCAATAAGGTAAGAAAAGGATGTAAGGGAAGACACAGAAGATTCCTAGGCACAAAGCCAGAGTACAGCAGCTGTTCCATTCTCAAGAATTTTTTGCTAGATGGTACTTAATCACCATACCAGTGCACTTCAAAAGACCAAACGCAAGAAAAATTTGAGTATTTAGTCACATAGGACTTGAAAGGGTATGTACTGAAACAGGCTATTCAAATCACTGGAGAAGCTGAAGAATTATCTCAGCTGATGGTTTAAATTTAGGCTGGACTATGTAAGATCTTGGAGACCTGTTCTAAGCACATAAAGAAGGAATTAACATAAGTAGCATTAAGGATACAACTTCAAATTCTTGAACTTAGTTATGGAGTGTTTTTCTTTTTCCTGGAGTTGGACATGGAATCAGACTCACAGATACTAACAGTTGTGTTAACTTGGACAATACTTCTGTTTTGAAGAAGAGCTCTTGGAGTAGTATCCTGTCAAAAAATGAGCCTCCAGAAGAGCACAGGGAAAAAACCCAATATATCTTTCTCATGACATTATAGTGGTGCTTCATCAGGACTTTTAGTCTCAGAAGCCTTCCAACTTTTGTTCTTCAGTGCCAGACAACGAATAACTTCTAGGAACTCAGAAGTATTTTCCTTTGCGCTATCTTACCACTCAAGTTATATTAGGCATTCAAAGTTTTGCAGAAGTGAAGTGCCTCAGGAAATACTCAGCATCATCACTGTCACAGGAGAGAATGAGCAATTCCATTACAACATCATCTGAGTGAGAAACTGTACTGCTGAAATACTACCATGAAGCTGACTAATATATCAAGTGTTACTTCTCAAGCCATTAGGTAGAGTACAGGGGGTTTGTTTGTTTTCTAGGATAATGAAACATGATTTCCTAGTTTCTTCAATTGTTTAACTTCTGGGTTAATACTAAAAGATTCAGACTTACTCTAAAGTTCAAGCAATTTTTTTTTTTTTTGTATGAGTGTTACATACCAATATTTAAATTCATCCAGCATGATTAAATAGCTAGTGCTCTGCTTAACCAAAGCACAGGAGTTGAGATGAATGAGAACAGTGTTTGAAATGCTAATTATTTTAAAACAATTGGTATGCCTTTTATGGCATATTTATATAATGAAAAGTTCCACACTAACAGTGTATTATAGATGTATACACACACACTTCTTCAAATAAACAAAGGGAGGTGTCAGAACAATTCAATGCAATGCAAGAAGGACTACCCAGAAACTAGTCAAGATGAGAGTTGAACAGAACCTGCCTAATATATTTTTCCATTTGATGCGTAAGTGCTGAATTGTGCAATTATGCAACTATAGGCAACAAAACCCTGGTGAAGCAATGGTGATGCTAGTAAATGCTCATAGAAAGAAAACTTAAATTCCTTTATGAAATAACATAGGTGTGGGTGCCTGGCATGCTCTGCTAAGTCAACAGCTCAGCAGGATGCAAGCAAGAGTCCTCTCAAGGAGAAAGAGGATGGTTGTTATGATGGCTTGTGGAAAACAAAAGCTAAACATCGCTCAGTACTTGTGCATCAAAAGCGGAGAGCCACTGAAACAACAGTGCTTGACTGCAGAGCGTATAAAAGAGACAGAGCTTTTTTGGCAATGCAGAGTTTGGAAAGGCATGCTTAGAAACTGCAAGTGCTAGCTTCTGTGTTGAGGTGTATAGGATACTAAATACAACTAGTTTAAACTGGCATTCATGTAAGAAGAGATGCTTTTTTTTTTTTTAATAATTTTCTTTTCCTAATGGAAAGAACCAAGCAAAGTCTCAAGTGCCCGCTCCAGCTAAGAAGCAAGAGTTACTTCAGAAGCATTACCAAAATCCTTATTCTGAACTTCGAGTGGCACATTCACGCAAAGAAATGCTTCTTGACAGGGACATATGTTTTATCAGACAAAAGGTAGATAGTCCTCCTAGAAAGGACTGCAATAGCAGAATGCTGTGTTATCATAAGCAGCTGAAGTTTGTGAAAAGATGAAAGGTGAAATACTGAATGTTCCTGAGCTTCTACTATTGGTAAAGTGGTAGCTAGCAAGTTCTTACGTCAGCTGAGCACACTATAGCGAGTGCCGTCAATAATTCACTTTATTCCTCAGCTAGTAAAGAAACACAGCCCTTGATATCTGAGTCATTGCTCCACATCCTGCCCTGCTTCAGCACTTCCTCATTCAAGGCAGAGGCTCCTTGCAGCAGCGCATTTGAATCTCGGCACATTCAGACAGGATACCGGGAGATTCTATGTAGGTAAGATGTTTTCTATCTTGTACTAGAAAGTCTTAAAACTGCAGTATCCTGCCTTTTTAGCTAAGGTGTTTTACAATTGCCTCAGATGAAATGGATGTGGGAAAAGAAAAAGAAACAATCTGGTTTTCATTTGGTAGTTTGGTTTTGTTTTGGGGGGGGGTGTTGTTTTTGTTTGTTTGTTTTGGTTGGGTTTGTTTTGGTTTTTTTGGTCATAAATTGGAGCTTGCTGGAAAGGAAAAACACAGTTTGAAGGGTTTCCTAGTTAAAGGATTTTGGCTCTGTAACTCCACTCCCCTTCACTGACTGCCAGCTGGGGTGCACTTAAACTGCAAAATAAAAAGTGAGGCTAAGGCTATTGGTAAAACAAAGGGCAGCTTTCTCCTGACACCCTAAAAGGCATCTCCAACTAACTTACTCACTGGGTGCAGTCTTGCCTTTATTTCTGCTCTTTAATAACTAAAGAAAAGCAAAAAAGATAAACTGGCACACAGATAGAAGTGACCTAACAAGGAGCTTCAGTTCAGTGAAGTTCAGAGAACAAGCAGCAGAATGAAAATAAATAATCACACTTACTCAGCTGATATTTGGAGGCTGTAAGAGAAAAGGCTCAGAGAAGACATTCAGCACAGTCACAACAAAACCAAAACCCTACCTAACTTTTCAGGTTCTGAATGGTCACTGTTTACAAACTGACAGCGTGCAACACCAGCTAAAAGGACTCCTTCCTTTCATGTGAGGAAAGTAAGGAGTCCCACTGCGCCGAGCAGCACACACACCATCACAAAGTCACTGCTGCACAAAATCTAAGGTGTCAGTTTGCAGTTAGTGAAGAAAACAAGTGCCAGAGCGAAAAGACAAGAAAGAGGCCAAGCAACTGCACAGGAGGATTTGCCCAAGCCGTGAGTCACCACGGGTTCTGTTACAAGTTGTGGACTATGAAAAAGAAGATAAGATACTATTGCACAAGGAGGTTTCAGACAAACTTGTCACCTTTGAATTTTTATGGAAGGTTTTTATTAGATGAATTTAAAAAAAAAAAAAAATAACGCACAACCACAGATGTAGGTACCAGTCCCTACAGCAGGGCATTTAAAACAGCTTTTCCATTTTAAAAATCTGTTTTTATCCTTGATAGCTTGTTCCTTCTTCAGAGGGAACTGTGCCCACCAAGGCAATGCAGGGAGAGAGGAGGGTAGAAGAGAGGCACCTTGGAAATGTACAAAGCAACTGATGTCACGAAGCCCAATTTCTTGTACCTCTGTATGGACTTGGAACTCAGGCCCCTCAAGAGCCAGCTCGTGTCAGACAATTTTTCCTTTCTGAATACTAAATTGACAGAAGTATTTCACCAGTTGACTAAAACTGAATCCTGAATGAGCAGTGAAACCAGAGAGCTATAGATTTGAGTTCTCATTAAATCAAAAAGCTTGCTATTGTTTTGACTTTAGCTTGATAATACAAGTGTAAGCAACACAAAGGCAGAGATCAGCACATGTTTTTCCTTTTAGAGAAATTAATTAGTTATTTCTAGAGACAGAGAAGAGGTGGTAGGAAATTCATCTCCAAGCCCTCTTCTTGTAATGC